AATGTATGAATATAATATACAAGTTTCACTTTTTAAATGGAATTACTGAAATAAATCTACTTTTTCATGATATTCTAATTTTATGACCAGCACCTGTACTGTATTTTTGTTTTAAGGTGTATACAATTTTTGGTTTTAAATGAAATGAATAAATAAATAAACTAAACTAAAACTAAATCGTGGCTCAGTCGGACCAGTAAATCCACAGATATGTCTCACCTACTGATAATGCTTTATTCAAGCAATTCAGTTAAATGAGTCCCTGCTCTAAATATGAGTTTGTTTTTTATAGATAAAACTATCATATATTAAAATGAGTTAACTCAAATACTGTATACTAGGTTGAAACAACAAAAATACTTAAAACTGAGAGAAAGCAGTCCTTTTGTGTGTGAAAAAAACTCAGATTTTAGTTAAATTTAGGACATTCTGATCCATCGCTGATACAATTATCTGTATGTTTCTGACTTTAAGCTGTTCTCTGATTGTGATTCTTTGTTTTGTTGCACCTCTTGCTCTTGTAACATTTGTTTTTTTCTTTTTGAACTTTTTGCTCTTAAACTCCTACAGTTCTTGGTCTTATCAGAAATGCTCCCTGATTTGTTGAAGCAAAGATCAGGACATTTTGTGTTTAAAAAGTTTCCTCAGATAATCTTACTTCATTCCCAGAATAGATCTAGGAGTAACTGATAATAAACTCTATGTCTCACTGGTCTTTTCAGGTTACAAACAACAGACATTTTTATAATGGTTCATATGGAAATTATATAAAAGGTGGCACCATTGATACAGCAAGGAGAAATTTCCACACAAGTCTTTTTTAAAACACACAATGTCTATACGTCTTTTCAACCAGAAGTAATGCAGCAACATTTTTCAATTCTGAGTACCGTTGAATAAGTTTCCTGTGACTGCGCCTAAATGCTAAATTGAAATGTCTRACATGAAATGCTGTCATCGCCAGCRGTGTCACCCACTTGTCATTGCTGATTATAGTGTTTGCTCTGTGACTAGGAAGGCCTTGTTGCTCTGTGGGACGGCGACGACGAGTCAAAYGACAAGACTTCGGATGACAGGATGGAAGACTCGCCAGCCGCGTCTTCAAAGCCTCGGATTGACAAGCTCTGGCATCGCTTCACAGAGGACCGCATGGTTGTAGGAGTGATACTAACTGCTGAGAGTGCCATGTAAATAAATATATATATATCATTTTAATTGATGCACATTGTGTATGTTCTCACATATAAACTAATTACTGTTGACTTGATCAACACCTGCTAAAAATAACTTTCAAACTGTCACGMGTTGCCCGGGAAGATTAATCTGAGCTACAGTGTTTGCACGTTTTTTAATAAACCTCCGAGCTCCTCATGAGGGAACCAGAAGCCCTCTTGATTCCTCCGTCCACCTGTTCCTGTTTTTTAATTTGAGAACACGTGGAGGAAAACCACTCCTGACGTGCCCGCCTCAGGCGCCTCCGAGTTCCTGTTGCCGCTCTTTTACGGCTGATGTAACTTCACCACCTGGATATGTTAGTGTTGATTAGTACACAAGCTGTCCTACATTCGCACACATACACGCCACGTCTAGTTTTATTTTTAATTTCCAGTTTGATTATTCGCGGTCCTTGTGATCGTTGATGATGTGTTGTGTTTTTGTTCCAGACCAGCGACCGGCGTGAGCTTATCCCTCCTGACAGAGACGGGCCAGAGCCCGAAGCCTGCAGTAATCCAGACCCAGAGCCAAGCGTTCTGGCTCCCCGCGTGCCGCCCTCCGTCCCCGTCCCCCTCCTCCTCCTCCTCCGCATCTGCCTTTGCGTTCTCGGCGCCCGCAGCCAAAAGAAGCAGGCAGCGCATCGCCGGCGATGATCTCCACACACGCAGGCTGGCCGTGACGGCGATGGCCGAGCTGGCACCTCTGCTGACCCCTGGCTGTGTCAAGTGCCGTGTCGTGCTCCATTACGTGCAGGAGGCAGATGCTCTGTCCCCTGGGAGCAAACCAACACCAGCCGTGCTGCACTGCGGTCGAGTTTCTGTACCGATTCAGAACGTTTTCCAAAAACCGCTGCTGAAAACCCCACAAATCAAAACGGGTAGAAATCACAGCATAACTCACAGCTTAAGACTTACCCATTATGCATGAATACTCATTATTTATTCATTTATCTTTTTAGATGAGGTTAGAGAGGACCTGTTAACTCTACTGACGGTGCTGGATTGCTGGATCTTACACATAGACTGTCCTGATTACAGTTTGGGGGATATAGCTGGCTGGATCCAGAAGAAAGTGGGTTGTCAGAAGGTTGAAGTGAGTCCTCAGTATCTGTTACAAGAATCTGCAGGACCATCTGCTGTGATGCTGCTGCACTGGCATCAAGTAACCCCTTTCCAGGGGGAATTATCCATCTACTCCAGGTAAACATTTTCACTTCTTGATACCATTTCGATAAATGTATTAATGTCCTCACAGTTCAGTGTTTTTGTTTATTGTTTTGAATTCTGTCTCTAATGAGTGGATACATCATCTAGAACAGTGATTCTTAACCTATGGGCCACAGAGGGCCATGGGACCGCATTGATTTTGAATAAGGTGCAATACACTTTCTCACCTCTAGTAGCAGCAGTGCGCCACTCAGATGTTTAACAACTTTTTTAATATGTAGAAGAAGAACCTTAGAAACCTGCCGATAATGGAAACCTATTTTAAATGAAAAGTAGAAGCAAAAATGAAAGTAACTCGTCAAAAAACACCAAAGTTTGTCACTAATATGAAGAGCAGCTTCTGATTTTACCAGGCAATATTTTAAGAGTTCAAAACATTATCAAATACAGTTACAGATACAACTATATTATAATTTGTACTTTAAATTAATTTATGTAGTTTATTTTTAAACATTTTGAATGTATTTTAAAGAAAATTTAAACTTGTCGAAAAGCTGTTGTTACTGTTATAGTTTGTCACTAATATGAAGAGCAGCTTCTGGTTGCAAAAATTTAAAAAGGCTATATTTTCATTTGTACTTTATCAAATATATTTTTACATCTTTTTAATTTGAAACATTCACATTAAACATTTTAAATTTATTTATTTTATGCCCAGAGTTTAAATTTTTTGAATTGTCTATTTTTGTTATTGTTTATGTTAAAAATATATATATTTGTGTTGATAAGCCTGAGTGGTCTGTTGACTGACCTTTGTATTTGTTCAAATAATTGTTATGGGCAGGTTACAATATAAAAATGTTTGTTATAATCATGTCTTGTGATTATTTGACAGGAGTTTTACTTTTAAACTGTAAGTGTATTTAATTTAGTTATGTTAGTTATGATAGTTTAGTTATGATGTAAATACAATAAAAATTAAACCAAGATTTAGATTAGAATAATCATAATTTTGATCCATACATTGGTAATGTCTGACTGGGCCTCGTGCCACTGTGTGTTCAACAAATTGTGCCCCGAGGTCAAAAAGGTTAAGAAGCCCTGGTCTAGAACACACATCTTTATTTATTAGGTCTTTATATTTGGTCTGTATGTTCCACAAAATGAATCCCCTTTCATCAGTTTAAAATTTATTGAACATTTGAATGAGCTGAGCTGTGAGTTTGATAATCGTTCAAAACCAGGATGAAGATATCTTTTTCAGCTGCTCTCTAAAAGATGTCACTTCTCTGTGTATTGAATTATGCAGTTTTATTCCAAAGCAAAGGAAAAGGTTGTAGAGGTGGGCATTGCTGAATTTCCATAAACAGACTGAAAGTTGACAAGGCTTTGAAGCTGGCTAAGGCGCACGTCTACACGATATTCTCCTGAATATCAAAGAGATTAGGCTTCTCTGGCAAGCAGAGCACTTAAAGTTACAAATCCTGCAAATAAATTTTAAATAGGTAGGTTCCTGGGAGTCGGCTGACAAATGACAAAACAGATTAGGACTTCACTGAGGTTTTTATTTTATTTTTTTAAAATCCATTCCTACATGTATTATGTAATAGCATATAAAATCTCTCCGCTTGCATTCGCAGAGAGTTACAAATGCTCCAGTTCTTGGACTCCCTGCTGACGTTCCTGCCCGCRTCCTGCTCCGTCCGACCTATCAGAAGCACAGGAAGCCGGAGCGCAGCGCAGAGGTTCGCCTTGGCTCTGGAAGACGAAGTGCTGTCGCTCAGAGAGCGCACGTCATCTCTGGTGTCGGGGAACGAGGGGCGAGACGGACCCGAGGAGCCCCCGGAGCCCGGCTCTGCAGAGGGGCTGCAGAGGTGYAGAGAGGCGTGGCGGCAGGACGTGGAGAGGAACAGGAAGAAGCTGAGCGCTTCGGTAGATGTTGGGACGTATCGTGAGATGATGCGAGCCATTTCTGGTGTCCAGATGGACACAGATTTGGCAGCTCTCGTCTACACACAAAGGACACTCTTTGCCTAAAATGTCACAAGATTCTAGTAAAAAATCACATCACTACAAATGCTCTTTCTTTTTGGACTCAACAAAAATAAAAAGACTCTTCCTCTGCACGGAGATCCTGCCTGTTTGTCTACACGTGCTCAGACATCCTCTTGGGGTTTGCATCTGTTTTGTACCTCTTAGTTGAAAGTTCAGCCCCTGTCCAGTGACTCTCCTCCTGGGAGTCCCCAGTCTTAATCCAAAGTTGCTGCATTGTGTCATGTCATATCTCTCAAGACCCCGTGTGTTCAAAAAAAAGCACTTTGGCATCTGTTGCTGCTAACCGCTGTTAGCTGAGGGAGATGTTCTGCAGGAGATGAGCACAGTTAAAGATAGCAGGTTATGGCAGCACAGCTTCTCTCTTTAAAAGCTTTCAGTGGCACGTCACCCCAGTGGTGCAGGTATTTTACTCACAACTGGTTTAGATGGGGGAGAAAAGGAACTGTCAGGGTGTTTTTAATCATTTTCAGTCTGAGTAATCTAAGAAGAGAGCTTTTTTCCTCTTATCGGTCTGCTTTTTTTGTCACCGTGTGGTTCTGTTTGTCTCCCTGTCACAAGACTCCTGAAACAATGTTTCAAAAAAGTTCCTGGGTGAAACTTAATGTGTCACTTTACAGTAATAATTAGGCTTGTCAATGCTGCAGTGCAGAAGTGGAAAAAACACTTTTGTTAAATTAGGCTCCAGTTTGCAGCCTACTTCCAATCTGAGAAATAGGAGTCTGTGGAAAAAAATATAATCAGTATCTAACTTGTTGTGGATAGCTTTTTTTTGAATGACTTTTATGCTGTGTCCCATTTCCCTCCAAACTCAGATCTGTAAATATAAAACTGACTTCGGATTAAAATAGGATATTTTATTCTGACTTGATCAACAAGCTAAAAAGCTATTGCAAGTGAAGCTAAAGCTAAAATGCATCGCTGCTATCCTAAAACCAATCAAAAGTTTTATAGTGGTTCCTGCAAAAGCTTCTTTATAAACTTTTATATTTCCATCAGTTTTTACATTCCACAAGTATTCTGGCAGAAACATTTTAATATTCCTGCTGAAAGTGGTAGCTGTTGCTGCTGCCATTTATACAGTATTTACAAAACACAAACACCACCCAGAAAGGTTGGGATTTGATCCAGCAACCATTTTTCTGAGAAACACTGTGACGGCCCTGCTGCA